CCCCCCCCACACACACACACACATACACACGTTCTCATCTCCTCGTTGTGCATCGGTACCGCGTCGGTCATGGTCCTCCTCCCCCCATTCATGTGTTTCGCGTGTGCCTCGCTCCGAGTGCCAGCTGCCGCCGCCGCCGCCGCCACCGCTGCAGCTGTTCCGCTACACTGGCTCAGCGTCCAGCAGCACACGTTAGCTTTACCGGCAGTGTCCGAAATGCGGAGTATTTTCAGCGCGTTTGGGACAATTACCTTTATGATGCGCAGTTGGGAGACCTGCTGGCAGATCCCTTGAGAGGAAATGTCTTTGAAGGTATACCCAATATATTGCGTTCGATTTGGCTCGACCGAATCTAGGGGTGGATGTAGGTGCGATCAAACCGCTCCTGTTGAACAGCGTGGGTGGACAACGACGTCGGTTCTAGGCAAGTTTACCTGTGCTACATTAAATCATTCTGAGAGTGCGTCTTTGCAAGTTCATTTGCCTGTCACAGCAACAAACCAGCGGCACGGCAGGAATGGAAAAGCTCGCGCAGCTCTCTGCTTCAACAGTTTTTACTCTGACGCTGCGTCCAATGACTCCCGCCCGGAGTCCCAGCGTGTGTTGTGCATACAGGGAGCCCCATTGCAAGGTGCGATTTTCCCGCCACTAATTTGAATCCATATCGCTTCTCCGCGGACTGCTACTAGGCTGTCTCTGGACAGCGCAGGGTTCAGCCTGGTGGAGACGCGCCTTAGATATGGGACACCAAACCACGTGGTAACGTTAACTACTCGTCCTGGGTAAACAACGCCGCACCACGGAGCACTGAGCTCGGCGCGGCGTGGGAGAGGCGTGCGACTCATCTACTCGCCTGGGCCGCGTTCAACGACCCTCCAAACGGACTATACCGGTGTCATCCGCCGCACAGTCGAGCGAACGCAACATATGTTCGGGGCTGTGCACAGAATATTGCTGCACGCTGGCCGGCGTACTGAGATGACTTATTATTGACACACACTTTACTAGGCGGATCTGCGGAACAGCCCCCTCTCCCCCCCCCCCTCTAAAGCCCCAAATGGGGGTAGGCCAACCCATCCCACACGCGTGCCCTGCGGCACAGTGCGTAGGTGCGGACCAGGGGTTGCACCCGTTGCAGTGAGACTGCGGCAGGGGGCAGTGAACTGTCATTTCCGACATGCACTCAGATACAACCAGCGTTTGCTCAGTTATTCAAACAATCGCACGCACTGAGCTGATTGGGTGAGGGGACAAAAGGAGTAGCGGACATCGAGTTGTTCGATGGTCCGGACGCATTGAAAAGTAAAGAGCAAGCTGATTCTAATATGTCTTGACAAACGTCAGATTATTCTGCAACAATCTCTAACTCTAAATCGAACTTTTCAAAGCCTTTTGTTACGTTAGGCAATGGCAATGACAAACAATTACTATACGTTACGTTTAGTTGCGCGCAACCCTGACATATTGGGCACAATTTACACTGAAACCAAATTGACAGACAGGCAGACGGACGGACGGACAGACCGAGACAGACAGACAGACAGACATATAATTGGGGCAACCCAAAGCGGGGCTCACCTGTCAGGAAGGGAGGCTGCAGGGTTCAGCTGCTTAGTGACGGCGGGAGGTATCCATAGCCGGAGGCACCTGTTCTGTTCACAGCCGCGCCGTCCAAGAGGTCGTGAACACGAAAGCACTTCTTGCAAGGGGGGAGGGTCTCGACCCCGACAGCACTGCCGCGCGTGCCAGCACTCGCACGACACACAAACTGTTGCCGAATCTCAGACACTCATTTGAGACACCACCGACGCAGTCTGAGCGGATCAATTATTCTCTTCAATCAGATGCGACGAGAGGTCAACAAACACACCACAGACACACACACACGCGCGGGGGGTGGGGGGGGGTGAGTGACACTGCGGTCCGGCTGACCCGTCCGGCGGCACGGAGGGCTTATGGAGAGCAACAAGCGCGGCGCAATCGGCGCTCAAGGGACGTCGCGGAGCGGGGCGGCGCGGCGCACGGGTCCCTCGCGGATGCACGGCCAGGCGGCGACTGACGCTCGGCGGCCGGT